CCGAGCATCATACCAGTTCATCTGTGAGTATGTCCTGCCTCTGTTGGTCTTAGCCCGAAAGAGAGCCCACCTTGTCCCTGGGTGTCCCTGGGACGACTGCAGGGAGGTTCGAGGTCAACTCCTGCTGTTTCCCACGGCCCTTGATGCCCTCCCTCAGGTGCCACAGGCCAGCGGATTGTAGGATGGCGGCGGAGAAGCCAAGTGGTCTCGGTCTCGAACCTGTTGTTCTGCATCTCATCTGATTGCAACGTGGATGGAGAGTCTGTGTCTGTCTGGCCCTGGCCTTGAACTTGGACAGGGCAATCTTTCCACTTTCCTGAGCATCTGGTTCTCACATATACAGCTGTGGCCTGGAAAACCTTTATGACCTATATGACACAGTCGAGCTCGAAATTCGTAAGATTTCTTGATTCTTACTTTTGTTTCCCAATTGTGTAGGGATAAAAAAAAAAAAACTGATCCAATCAGCTTCACAGGTGATCAGAATCTCTCAAAAGCTGGGAACATAAACTGAGAATGTTAGCCTTAGAAGGGACTTTGGCGATTTTCTGGTTTATAAGTGGGTAAGCTGAGGCCTAGGGAGGTGTTTTCCCAATGCCTCACAGCGCTCTTCCAGTCGTTGGTGAAGGCCGCAGCGTGTGCTTGTGGATATGGTGCGTATTTATTCCTTCCCTGGGAGCAGCAAGGGCCTGAGGCACAGACTGGAGGCTTTGCAGGTGGGAGGGCTCGGGTTTTGAATGGTGTGGGTTCCTCAACTTCCGGTGGTTGTGCACAGACAGGGAGCTCTCTCCCACGCCCTCCCCCGGCCCATTAGGGCAGGAGTAACAGACAAGAACACTGCCTAGGGGAGCACACAGCCTTCCTCTTAGTGCCTCCCCAGCCCAGCCCCGGAGAGGCAGATCTCTTCCAGCCTTCCTCCTCCTTGGAGGCCAGGGAGGAGGCTGGCACCAGTGACACAGCCTTTCGAAAGTCCAGTCCTAGTGCCAGGCCAGCCGCCTCTGTGACGGCTCAGGGCCATGGCCAGCCTCGACCAGAGGAGAGCCCCAGACCTCAGCATGTTTGGGGAAGGAAGTCAGAAGGTTAAGGAAACATGAGGATGAAAATTAAATGCAAAAGGACAGTGGCCTCTCAAGGACTTTCCTTCATTTCCAAACATGTTTTATGGGGAATGGAGCCGAGAGTGGAGAGACAGATGGATTTGAAATAAAAACACAAGTTTATGGTCTAGGTCTACACTCTTCTGAGACTTTGCCCAAGTCAAGTCCCCGTTCTGAACCTCACTTTTCCATTGCAAATTCAAGCAAGGAATGTGTGTCCTCCGCATGCAAAGAGTTCACTGGGAGGGCTGAGTGGGATCACTGATGTGAAGGGTATTTCTGAACTACAAATATTATATAAACATACACAATATTATTTTAAAGTTGCAGATTTAGGAATGGGTCTTAGGTCTCACACTTGCACCCAGAGTAAGGAAAATCCTGGAGTTCTGCGTGGGGATCTCAGATGCCCAAAGAGATGATCTAATTCAGGGAAAATATTCAAGTAAAACTGTCCCCAAGTAAATGGGGACAAAAATCTCTAGGTCAGGTTTGGGTTGCCGACACTGGGTTTGAATCTGGGAGAAGGAGGTGGACAGCATCTCGGCAAAAGTGGAACTTGTTTCCTTTATGATCAAAGGAACCAAACTTCTGTCACTTTTAGCTAAAACACAAGAAACTTGGTATTGATTTCCAGGTAGGATCAAGTCATTAACAGGCTAGGCCAAGGAGTCTGGGGGCTTTATTTGAGTCTTTAAGCTGCCGCTCACTAGCCACGTGACCTTGGGCAAGAAAGTTCTCCTCATAAGAGTCCTAGCTCAAGGAAAAGTTGGAGTCTGAGTGGCAAAGAGCAGGAGTGGTTGAGACACAGGGATTCTTGCCACCCTGTCTACTGAAGATTATGGACTCTTTGCAATTGTAGGATTTTTAAAGTCGGAAAGTGACAAGAATTTATGGCCAATTTAGATCCGGACAGGTTTTCCGCCTTAAAGTTATGGCTCAGGTCACAAACACTTTCACTTAAAATCTTGTTTGATAAAATTGCCTTCCCCTGCCTCTCCGTGGGCATAAATATAGAGATAATTTGGAGCAGGGGAGGTAGAATCCCAAAGTACTCAGAATTACGGACCTCCAAGATCAAGAATGTAAGTCCAAAGAGATGTGTTTTAGGGAGCCGGATTTTTGCTTGTGTGCCGAGAATCGCAGGAGGGCGTCCTGGGAGCGGGGTTGAGGGCGCTGCCAGGAGAGGTTTGGGTACCTGCCTGTCCGGGTGTGATGCTCTCCTAGCCTGGGTAGCCTGACTTCCTGAGTGGAGCGGTGTCAGCAGGCGTCTCGAGGCTCGAGCGGCTGCAGGAAGGGAAGAGCCTGGAAGAGAGAAGACAAGCAGATTATTTCCACATTCCGGAAAGGAAACGACAGGGTTTGATCAGCGGCTCTAGTGGAAGTGGAAGATCAGGCAGCAGCTGTGGACCGAGACAGGAAGTGCCCCCCCCCCCCGCCGGCCTCCCGTGGAGATGTCGGGAGACTTCTCTTCTCCGGGACAGAGACCACAGCAGTGGGACACAGAGGCTCGGGGAGATTTTAGGCCACTTGACCTGCCCCGTGAGGCAGAGTTGCTCTTCTACTCTGGGAGTTCTTGTGTCCTGAGCAAAGATAAAATGGCAGAGAGAGCAAGGAATTTAAAACAGAAAGGCGGGGGCAGGGTGCCCTTTCACAGGACTTTGGGGAAATGGGTTCTTCTACTTGGACGCCGGTTTTGTCATCTGTTGAGTAAACATGGGATGTTTACCTTGGGGCCACGGCCAGGGCTGGTCCAGTTCACATCATTCTCCCAATTTTACAAATAAAAACCAGAGGCGCAGACTCTGGTCACACAGCTTGGGAAGGAACAATGAAAAACATGACTCTTGAGGCTCGACGCTTTAATCTCCATCATTCTATGAACCGAGAGAGCGAGGACCGGTGGGGGGGCAGACACACCAAACAGGAAACCCGGCTCAGCCGCCTCCGGGGCGGGGGGGGGGGGGGGGGGGGGGGGGGGGGGGTGGAGCTTTGCGGCTGGGTCAGAGGTCATGTTTTAGGCTCCCTCCTCCCCCCACCAGACTGGAGGCCTCTGAGGAGAGATGGGGAATCTGGGGGAACAAAAGCTTGTTTTCCAAGAGAGCTCAGAAATGCCCAAGTCGGAGCGTGGAGCCCGATGGCACCGAGTTTCCAGAAGGTGGAGGCAGCGCTGTGCGGCCCTGGGGAGGGCGGCCCGGCGGGCGGGCGGGGGTTCACCGCTGGGGACGGCTGTGTGGTCTCAGCACCGGGGAGGTGGCCGAGCCGGGACTCCAAGTGTGAGGAAGAGCCAGCCCCCACGAACATTGCCGCGCGTCATCAGGGGCCGCCAGCCTTCCAGGCTGCAGGGCTGTTTCCCGACAGGGGGCGTGGATGGGGGACAAAAACCCATTTAAATAAAATTAATACAGTAAGGGGCGCCTGGTGCTCAGTGGGTTAAGGGTCCGACTCTCGATCTCGGCTCAGGTCTCGAGCTCACGGTCGTGAGTTCGAGCTGGGTGTGGAACCTACTTAAAAAAAAATATATATATATATATATATATAACAAGACAGGCATTGCACAGCCTAATGATGCTAAAGTGCCATGAGTTTAAGAGTTTGATTAACTCAACCCTTTGAATGTGCGTCCAAATGGGGGGGAGGGGAAGTCAGTGGGGGAGGGGAAGCCAGTGATGTTTTAAGCTTCAAGGGGCTAATAATCTGATGAGGAACGCACACAGTTTTCAAGAAAACAAACAATAGGAATATTAAACATATTTTACCCATGGGGGGAGAATGGGGTTTGGGAGCCAAAGCCTGGGAATAGCACACAGAACAAGAGAGGGGCCTTGCAAGGACAAATGATCATGAATTCGGGAGTGCGACGAGCTCAGATCCCAGCCCTTGAGGTCCAAAAGTAGACAGTATTGTACACAAGAGGGAGGAAGATCTTGACAAGCCTCCCTGGGGGGTGGGGGATAAATATATTATGCAAGTGGGAAATCCAGCAATTCCTAGGCTCCAGGCCTGGGTTCCCTATCTAGTCCCCACGTTAGCGGGGACTATTGGGCTGCTGGGAACTGCACTCCAACATGCGGCATTTTTCTTAGAGGAATTCGTGTCTCCTTATTCTTCTCAGGCCCTGGGGCTTCCTGGAGATTAAGAGCATTTTTAATGGTGGATTATCCTCCAGAAAACTGGCAGCCACTAGTCCCTCCCCTGTCTGGGGCACAAGAACCTCCTAGACCAGACCCATGACACCTAGGTGACTTCAGCCAATCTGATAAACACGGAATGCATCATTTCTTTGATTACTGGTGAGGAGAACATTGTATCCCAGCTCAGACGCAGTTTGGCTTATTTTCTGCTGCCCATTGTCTGTAGGGCTGGTTGCTTTCCTTACTAATTTGTCAGCAGTTGAAGGCAGTTGCGTAACGAACATAGAAATGGGCTTCCTTCGCACATGTTGAGAATATTTTTCCCTCCTTGGGGCCAGTTTCCTTCCAGCCCTCTTGGAGAGGTCCTAGGTGGTCCACACATCATGAGATTAAGAATGGTATTTGGAATCTCTGTCATCCCGTCTGCAGCGACCCCACTGCAATGCTGGGGAGGCATTGTCTGCACCTGGACCCTACTATCCACTCAGTTAAAACACCCAGTAATCTTCAAGGACCATGGATGCTTGCCCTCACCTTTTCATAATTCTGCCAGAATTTATATGAGTCTCAGGTCCGCATCGCACCAGTGAGCACTGAGTGCCCACGGGGGTGTGTGTGGGTGAGGATGTGGTTTAAATTCTACGTCCCCACGCATGCCCCAGGAATCCTTGCCACCTTGCGATTGGCCTGCGCAGGCTTGGCTGTGTATCAAAAGGCTGCCAGGGTGTGCGAGATCTCAGCCTCAAAGACTGGATCTACAGACATAGTAATGACTGCACAGTTAAGGGCCTCTTACCTTGTTCCTCTTGTGCTAGTCAGCTTTGCACAGACAAATGCCAAGCCTGAGAAGATGAAGGTGAGTGACCTCCAGAGAGGGCGGGGTCGGGCGCCAAGGTCAAGTTACTGTTTTGTCCTGCTCCAGTCATTCTTGTAAGACTCTGACCTCTGCTTTCTTTCTTTTTGGGGTTTTCCATTAACCTTTCTTTTCTTCTTGACTCTTCTTCGATCCTAGAAATGGGTGTTCCTTGAGCTGAATACAGGTAGGGAAGAGTCTCCTTACTGTGGTCCTTGCTCTCCTGCATCTCTAGTTAGGGTGGCGTGGATACTCTTCCAGCCACACCAGTACTTAATTTACATCAGAGCTGGGCCTGAGGCACGGGAAGGCAGTGGGCTTCACAGTGAGGGGCAGGGTTTGGAGGAGAGGGTAGGCTAAGTCAACTCCGATGCAGCTCAGTGGGACACCTATAGGAGGAGGAGGAGGAAACCGATGTGGAAGTTATGGATGAAGTCAGAGAGCTAATCAGAGAAACATAAACACGGGCAAAATAATTGGAGGTCTAGGGGCGCCTGGGTGGCTCAGTCGGTGAAGCATCTGCCTTCAGCTAAGGTTACGATCTCAGGGCCCTGGGACCGAGCCCAGCGGGGAATCTGCTTCTCTCTGCCCCTCCCCCCTTCCATGCCCCTGTTCTCTCTCTCTCTCAAATAAATAAATACATAAATAGATAAATAAATAAATAATTGGAGGTCTAACGCAACTGGATTTAGAATCAGGAGTCTTGGGTTCTGGCCTCAGTCTAGTGTCAGTTCATGGCTCAGTTGCCTTATTGATGAACTGTGTATATAGCAAAGGGAGGGGCAGCTCTGGGAAGGGCAGCAATGATCTGGATGACTTGGAGGCAAAATGGAATCATGAAGCGAGAGGCAAGCAACCTTTCATCCATGTAGAGCGGCGATCACTTCTGTCTTGAACAAGTCCCTTCGCCTTTGTTAACCTCTGATTTCTCTTTATAAATTTGTGAGCAACAGTATCTACCTTGTGGGCAGATGAGCAATAATTATGACACATGGAAAGTGTTCAGTAAAAGGCAGCTCTGGTAAGATCTTCCTACCACTCTGAAATTGACGGGAGAACCTCCTGGGTGACTCTCTACTTTTGAGAATTGGTGTGGCTTTTCTGTTACTCAAGGCTGCCTAACTGGGTATGAAGACCCTGGAACCTGGGCTATAGTATTTGCTTAATAAAAAGCTGAGTCTGGAGGTATTGGAGACATATCATAGGGACTTAAGTAAATATGTTTGGAGCAGCAATGAGTATCCCGAGTAAGCTGGCCTGAGAAGGGCTCTCCAGGTCCAGAGTCTCTCTAAACCCCCCACACCCTGGTTACCCAACATGATTTTCAGTAAATTTCATTGCAGTAGCAAAGGAAAAAAATAAGAGACAAATTCTTAAACATGTTTAGGTTAGAACCTGGCATCATGGAAACAGATGGATGCTTTCATATGGTATTCTCTTTATGCATGTCTCAGTTTTGCTGGTATGTGTTTGTGTATGCCCTCGGGGGGGGGGGTGCAAAAGCCTGCATAGAGAAGGGACCTTTCCGCCCAGGAGCAGGGAGCGAGTTCCAGAGCCTGGTGAGCTAGTGGTAGAGGCAGTTGGCCTAGAAGGTTGGAGAAAGTCTTGTTTTGTCTGTGTTGCATCTGGACAGGTGGTGTTGGCTAAAATCCTTTCTAGTCCATTGGCTTTCTGGGGAGCCTGGTTTAATCTGGACCTTCCTTATCAGATCATGTCTTTCTCCCCTTTCTCCCATCAGTTCCTCTGCCTGCCTTCTCACGCTTCCTGTTCATACTCCCTGTGCTCCATGAGCAACCGGCAGCAGCTTACCCAGTGTCGGAAAAGGGGTCCTTCAAGGACCCTACGTGGATAGAGTGGAGGAAGAATAGGTGAGATCTGCCTTGCAGAGGAACTTAACCTAAGAACAGGCAGTGAGAATGTCTGGACAGCTTATTTCTGTTACATGGAATTTATTTGTATTACAGGGAATTCTGCTCAAATATGTTCAGGAGACTCTTGGGGAGGAACAGGCTTGATGGAGCCAGTGATGAAGGCGAGGATTAGGTTCCCAGAGCAGAATGGGGCGGGCTGGGGGGCTGATATTGTGGCAGCGGGGTGCTGCCAGACAGATTTTGGTGCCATTGGCAGATGGAATAGTGCTCTCCATGTCCGCCACTGGGAGCTACAGACAGTGTCACGGCCGCGGCTTGTCAGACCATCACTCGAGCAAGCGAGTGACAGGAGAGAGAGGGCTGTTCCAGGCCGATACTAGGTTCTAGAATGTTGAACCAGGAAGGCCCTGTGAGGACCTGATCGGAATCTAGATGAATGTCTTCACTTTAGCGGTGGGGAAACTGAGGGTCAAGGATGAGAACTGCCCAGGTTCACAAGAGAACTTGACAGCAGAGCTGGCTTCTGATTCCCAGGTCAGAGCTCTTTCCACTACGTACGTAAGCGATCCAGAATCTTCCCTCCTGCGGGAGACTCCAGGCAGGATGCCTTCGGTCCAGAGCCAACGCGAGTCTCATTCTCACAGAGGCACAGTGAGCATTCCTCTTTGGCCGCCCTGCCTTCCAGGGCTTCCCATGGCAGCCCATGAACGTCTGCTCTGTTCCTCTCATCCCAGCGCATTTCCTCGTACCCTACCGCCCCCAGGATAACAGGACAGGGAGGCTTGACTGTTGCTTTGCTCAAAACCCAGCGGCTTCCGAGTCACGAGACTTAAGTCTCAGTCCATACACACCGTGGACAACTGCTCTGTTTCCTGGTTTGCTTTCAGTCGATACAGGTACTACTCTTTGAGTGCTTTGAAAGCTTACACAGGGGTTAGGAAGTGTTGTCGTTAATAGCATCATTTTTTAAATCTTCCAGATGGATTGCTACAAAGATGTGAAAGGCACCATCTATGAGTATGGAGCCCTCAGCCTCAATGAAGAGGAGCACATTCCGTTCAAGCGGTACGCGGGCAAGCACGTCCTCTTTGTCAATGTGGCTACCTACTGTGGCCTGACAGCTCAGTACCCCGGTAAGAGCTCACAGCCACATCTCCTTGGGACTGAAGTTTCCAGCTCATTATATTCTAAATCATAATTAGAATTATATTCGCATTACATACCAAAATCAATGCTCATGATCAAGTGACTTCATTCCCTGATGTCAGGCGCCAGCAAGCAAAGGCCCACAGGCCTAACCTGGCCAGCCTGCTTTTGTAAACTAAGTTTTATGGGAACACAGCCATGCCCCTGCACTTACATACTGGTTTCATGCCTCCAGGCAGGGGTGAGTACTTGATGATAATCGTGACAGAGACCATCTGGCTGGCAAAGTCTAAAGTATTTTCTATCTGGACCTTTATAGAAAAAGTTTGCTGACCACTTCCCTAGGTCCTGCCTCTGCTTTGCTCCTGGGAGTTCCAGGAGAATCAATAAATCTCCGAGGACTAGGAGCCTCTCCACAGATTCCAGAAGTCTCCTTGGTAAATACCGGAGACAGGATTGATGTTTCTGAGACTTGTCCAGGGTTTTACAGGTAACCTACAAAGAAAGAGACAGGGGGACGGGGTTTTATACCTGAAGCCGTGTTTGGCTGGAGAGCTGGTAGAGCAGGTGCTGAGAAAGGCAAAGCTTCCTGCTCCAACTCAGTGCCTCCAGGACTTAGACTCCTCCTCTCTGTGTGTCACTCGGGGTGGGGGGGTCTTTCTCATACCTCAGACCACGGAGTTTGGAAGACGATGAGTAATGAGTAGGACAAAGGGGGCCAGGGTAGCTCCATTGGTTAAATGTCCAACTCGTGCCTTGATCTCAGGGTCATGAGTTCAAGCTCTGTGGTGGGCTCCATGCTGGGAGTGGAGCCTCCTTAAAAAAAAAAAAATAATGAATAGGATGAATTTCATCAGAAACAGAAGGACTTATATTTAAACTAACAAGAACTTCATTTTGATTATGCTTTGAATAGGTAATATATTCACAAGTCTCACAAATTATAGGAATCAAAAAGCCTAGAGTGAGAAGTCTTTCCACCTCCTTCCCCCTCCCTCTAAACGACTGGTATTATCATGTGTACAAAATATATAGATAGAAGTTTTTTTTTCTGCTTCCCCCCCACAGTTGCAGCATAATATAAAGACCACTTGCCACTTTGCTTTTTGTTTTAATTAATAAAGTACCTTAGAGTTCAGACCATCTCCCCATTCAAGACCGAATAACATTATGTTGGACCGTAATTCATTTTGCCAGTTTACAGTGACTTTAAAAATCAATTTATTCAGTTCCCACTCTGTACATAACAGACAAGGACACTAAGGAATGTTTGCTTAAGGACTGGAAGACAGGAGGAAGCGGTCGTGTACAGTGACTGAAGACAGGTAGGAAGGATGTGGGGAGAGGTACCGAGGAACCATATGGAATCGAGAGGGCAATCTCTAGTTTGTGAAAGGAAAGGAAAGGAAGGGAAGGGAAGGGAAGGGAAGGGAAGGGA